ATACCATACCTTGTAAACTTTGTCCGAATTGCACGTATAAGTTCCATTATACTAACTATGGAGTAGCGTGTAAAATTTCTCGTTACTGTACGTTTAAGTTACATTATACTAATTATACAATAACGCGTAAACTTTCTATTTATTGCAGGTATAACTTACATTTTAATAATTATACAAAAATGTGAAACATCCTCTCTACTTTAACTTCGTTTATAGTAATTGTACTTATAATGTGTAAATTTTGTCTCTACTGCAGACATCACTTACATTATACTAATCTATATAAATATAATAGTACTGTCTGTTGTATGTCCATATAACTATTTCGCAGGGTGTGGATGGTTCTTCGTCAAAATTGGTACGGAAGCTCATTATGTCCATGAGAGGTACATACAAATTTTCAGTTTTGCGGTTTTTATGGGCGTTTTTTTTTTACCACTACTTCGCCCCCTGTAAATGGATCTTCACCAAATTTGGTATGGAGGTTTGTTGGATTCATGCGAAGTTGCAGTTTCACGTTTTGTGTTTTGCAGTTTTTATGGGCGTTTTTTACAATTACATATAAGGGAAGCAACTTAACGTGTCCTAAGATAGCCTTTCATTAATCACGAAGTTACATAACTTTCGTCCAGGAGACGAGTGCTCTAACTAGTTATACAATAATAAGTAAATTTTCTCCTTAACATAGGTATATGTTACATTATATTAATTATACAATAACGTGTAACCTTCCTCTTTACTACAGTTAGTAGGTCCATTAAATAAATTATACACTAACATGTAAAGTTTCTTCCTCCTACACGTATAAATTCCCTTATATTACGTATATAATAATGGGTAAACATTCTCCTCACTACATGTATAAGATACATTATACAACAGTGTATAATCTTCCTCCTTACTGCAGTAATATGTTCAATTATATTAATTATACAATACTATGTAACCATTTTCTCTATTACATGTATAAGTTCGATTATATTACTTATACAATAATATGTAAACTTATTCCTCAAGTTAGGTATAAGCTCAATCATACTAATTATGAAATATTCTCTAAGCTAACTCCTTACTGCAGATATAAGTTACATTTTACTAATTATGCAATAATGTGAAAACATTCTCTCTACTACATATGTTCCATTACAAGAATTATACAATGATGTGTAAATTTTCTCTTTCGTATAGAAACAAGTTATATTATATTAATTATAAAATAATGTATAAACTTCTTCTCTACTACAGTAATAGGTCCATTATACTAATTATCCGATAACTTGTAAACTTTTTCCTTACTGAGGTATATGTTACATTATACTTATTATACAATAATGTGAAAACATTCTCTCTACTACACTTATAACTTCGTTTAAACTAACTGTACAATAATGTGTAAACATCCTCCTTACTACAGCTATAAGCTCAATTGTATAAATTATACAGTATTGTTTAAACTTTGTCCGTTCTGCAGGTATTATGTAGCGAAGAGTGCGCTGGCACTCTCTATGTTGGGATGACACGGACGGCCGTATTAAAGCAATACAAAAGTAATCTGGATTTTCTTCTCTAGGATGTTGGGATGACACGGACGGCCGTATTAAAGCAATACAAAAGTAATCTGGATTTTCTTCTCTAGGGCATCAGGAGCTAAATATAAAGAGCAATCTGGAATAGCCGCTCTATCTCAGTTAACCAGAGCGTCCCGAGGTCGAAAACCGGCGAATAGCCAAATCCGAGATTTCTTATTTTCATTCATCATTATATTTCTTCAGCAGGCCTAACGCCTACCTAGTTCTAGAAGTAACTATAATTTTATGATCAATTGATAGAATAAACAGTCTTCACGATCTTTGCCTGCCTATTTTATTATTATTCTGTACAACAATTATAAAGCTTTAGAATATACCCTATAACCTAGTAACCCACGCAAGTCATATTATAAAAACAGTAAACAAATAAGTATTAGGGAAAAATTATCACTAAATAAAAAACGTATGTAGAGCTGATTACTGAATTTCAAAAAGGAACTAAAAAAGATAGGGCTGAAGTGGACATATCGCTTGACCAGACTAATGACCACATAGCAGACTAAGCTGTCTCGACTTTACGGGGAGAATAAAATCCGTACATTACTGGCTTTCTCACAGGCAAAACAAATAGAACGAGAATTTCCAATTGTAAAATGTTACTCTATTGTAAAATAGTCATAAAAGTAATATTCTAAAGTCAATTATAGGAAAGGTATAATGGTGAAAGCTGAGATTCTATTGAAACAGAAAGCATTCGATAGACAAATTAGGGAAGCCATGTAAAGTCGAGACGAACTAGTCTCCTATGTGACCATTACCCGGATCAAGCGATATGTCCACTTCCATCCCTATCTTATTTGGTTTCTTTTTTTCAAGTTCAGTTGCTAGCCCTACATAGCTTTTTATGTAGCGATAATTTTTTCCATAATACTTGTATTATACTGATTATATAATAACATGTAAGCATTGTATTTATTACACGTATAAGTTCAATGATATTAATTATACAATAATATGTAAATTTTCTCCTTAAATAGGTATAACTTACATTATACTGATTATAAAATAATATTTAACCTTTCTCCTTACTACAGGTAGTCGGTCTATTATACTAATTATATAGTAACATGTAAACCATTTTTCGTACTACATGTATAAATTCGATTGTAGCAATTATATAATAATGTGTAAACTTTCTCCTTAATACAAGTATGAGTTACATTACACAACAACGTCTAAGCGTTCTTATTACTGCAGTTATATGTTCAGTTATATTTATTATACAATAGCATTTAAACTTTGTCCTAATTACAGGTATCAGTTACGTTATACTAATTATACAATAATGTGTAAACATTGTCTTTATTACACGTATAAATGCGATGATATTAATATAGGTATAAATTCGATTATTCGAATTATAAATAATGTCTAAACTTTTTCCTTGATAAATGTTTAAGTTGCATAACATTTATTATCCAATAATGTGTAAATATTAATTATACAATATTGTATAAACTTTCTCCTTATTGCAGGCTTAAGTTAAGTTATACTAGTTATATAATAATGTGTAAGCTTTCTCTTTACTGCTGGTATAAGTTATATTATATAGTGATATGTAAACTTTCTACTACACTTATAAATTTGATTAAACTAATTATACAATAAAGTGTAAACTTGTCTTCTTATATGATGTAGAAGTTACATTGTACTAATTATACAATAATGTGTAAACTTTCTCCTCACTGCATGTAGAAGTTACATTATACTAATTATACAACAATGTGTAAACTTTTTTCTTACTGCAGGTATAAGTTACATTGTACAATTTATAAAATAATGTTTAAAATTTCTCCATACTACATGTATAAGTTGCATTATACTAATTATACAATAACATGTAATATTTCTTTGTACTAAACATATAAATTACATCATGATAATTATATAATAATTTGTAAACATTTTTCCTTGTACATGTATAAGTTTGTGTAATTTTCCCCATTACATGTATAAGTTCCATTGTAATAATTATATAATGATGTGTAAATTTATCTTTAATAGAGATTTAAGTTACATCATATTAATTGTACAATAACGTGTGAACTTTTTCTTTACTGTGATGTAAGTTACATTATACTAATTATACAATAATTTATAAACTCTGTCGTTACTACACGTATAAATTACATTATACTAATTATACCATAACGTGTACATTTTATTTCTACTACTCGTATAAGTTACATTATACTAATTATGCAATAATATATAAACGTTCCCTACTATTCGTATAAGTTACACTATAATAATTATACAATAACTTGTAAAATTGCTCTTTGCTGCAGGAATAAGTTATGTTATAAAAGTCATATAATGATGTGTAAACTTTCTCCTCACTACGGGTATGAGTTACGGTATATTAATTATAGAATAACGTGTAAACTTTCTCCTCACTACGGGTATGAGTTACGGTATATTAATTATAGAATAACGTGTAAACTTTCTCCCCACTACGGGTATGAGTTACGGTATATTAATTATAGAATAACGTGTAAACTTTCTCCTCACTACGGGTATGAGTTACGGTATATTAATTATAGAATAACGTGTAAACTTTCTCCCCACTACGGGTATGAGTTACGGTATATTAATTATAGAATAACGTGTAAACCCTCTCCATACTAAACGTATAAAGTTGATTTTACTGATTTGACAATAACGTGTAAGTTTTGTACCTACTACATATATAAGTTCCATTAGACTAATTATATGATAACATGTAAATTTTTCCCTTTCTTCAGTTAAGGTGCATTATGATATTATAGGAAAAACATTTCTTGCTGCCAATGTAGCTAACAATACAGGCACTGGGTTACAATGTTTATTGTTTTCAACTTCCCTGCTTGCTATATTCATAGATTATTATATGACAATTTTGTAGAATCTTAACTATCTTTCTCAGCACATGAATATATCACAATGTAATCAGCATTTAACAATGTCCTGAGCTCTCCAGGTAATACATAAAGATATAATTACAGCATAACAAATAAATACATGTTTTGTAATTATCTCCACATTGCAAGCGTATCTTACAAAGCAAGCACACAACAATGTTTTTCATTCTCTTCCTGCTAATTTGATAATTATAACATAACCAATAAAAACAATGTGTTGTAGTTTCTCCATACTACAAGTATATCGTGCAAAGCAAGCATACAAAACTTCTCTTGCTGCTAATTTGATACTTATAACATAATCAATGAATAATAATAATATGTTTTAGTTTCTCCATATTTTAAATGTATCTTGCAAAGCTGTACACAACATTCTATTTCTTTTCTTCCTACTGCAGGGATAAGACACAATGTTACTGATAAATAACTGTGCTGTAGTTTCTCTCCATACTGCAAGTTTATGTTACGACGCAAGTACAAAACAACCTATATCACTGTCTTCCCACCACAGGGATAGGCTACGCCATCTGTGTTATTGACCTATATATGGCCATGTATTACAATACCATTATCTGCTGGGCCGTTTACTATCTGTTCTCGTCCTTCACATCCGAGCTGCCATGGACCAAGTGTGACAATTCCTGGAACACAAACAACTGTCAAACCCTTGCGGAGAGGGCAGTCAACGTATCCAACATGTCGACAAGTCCAGCTCAGGAATTCTTTGAGTAAGGAGTTTTCCAATATTTGTAATTCACTAAATCTTTTTCATCTTTCGTCGTTTTACGCAATCTGTGATGAAAACTGTATTTGCTGTAGATATTGGCGGATTCCAATGCACGGTTCTAGAGATCTCTAAACGTTTTGAGTCACTATAAGATACAGCTATATTTGACTTTTCTATGCAAGGTTTCTCCAGTTCACTAACCGTTATGAGAAATGTATTAGCCATAGATAACGCTGCATTTCAATAAAAGTATCCTCCAGTTTATTGAACGTCATGAATACCCCTTAGCTACATATTTCGTTGGGTTCAATAAACGGTTGTCCAATTCACCAACAGCTATAAAGATTGCGTTAGATACAACCATCACTGACTTTTAATACAAGGTTTTCCCAGGTAATAACCATCATGAGAACTGCCTTGGCTAGAAATATCGCTGAATTTAAAATAATGTTCTTTCAGTTTACTAACCGTTATGATTATCGTTGAGTCAGTACGATGTTTTAACACTTTCCTAACCGTTAAGAGAACAACATTACCTACAGATATCAATGGATTTCTGGGGAATTCTTACTAACAGTTAGTAAACTGGGAAACTCGCACTGAAATTAAACTATATCTTTAGCTAATACAGCTCTCATAACAATTAGTAAACAGGGAAATATTATACTGAAATCCAGCGATACTTGTAGCTAATAAATATCTTAAAGCAGTTAGTAAACTGGAGATTACCTTCCACATTAATCCAGGCATAACTGAAGCTAATACTTTTTCATAAAGATAATGAACTCGAGAACTTTTATTAAGATCAACCAATATCTGCAGCTAATACAGCTCTCATAAAAGTTAGTAAATTGAAGAAACCTATTATTGACATCCAGCGATGTCAGTATAGCTAAAACAGTCTTCAGAAATATTAGGAAATGATGGTCCCAAAATGGTTAGTAAAGTCGAAAAATCTTGTAACCGTTATGAGAAGTGATTTGGCTACATGTCTCATTGTATTTCAGTACAAGGTTAGTCCAATACACTAACCATTATTAGAACTGTATTAGCTATAGAAATAGTTGTATTTTTATAAGGTTTTCCATTTCACTAACTGTTACAAGAACTGTATTATTTATCGATATCACTGGATTTCATTACAAGGTTCTCTAGTTTAGTGTAGGCTAAAAGAACGATATTAGGTACACCTATCGTTGGATTGCATTACAGTGTTCTCCATTTCAGTACCTATTATGAGCATTGTATTAGCTACAGCTATATTTAAATTCCATTGCAAAGATTTCAAACCTCCTAACCGTTATGAGATCTGCCTTAGTTACAGATATTGTTAGATGTAAATAAAAGGTTTCTCCAGTTTACTGACGTTTAGGGGGATTTGGGGTTAACTAAGTTTATCCATTTTACTAACCGTTATGAAAACTGTAATATCTACAGCTATCATTGAGTTTCAATAAAACGTTTTTCCAGTTTACTAACTTTTACAGGAAATGTTTTAGTTACCCCAACCTACTTACTTTTAGTATAAGTTTTTAATCTTTATGAGAATTGTGGTTACTTTCATGTTACTGCTGATTCTCATTACAAAGTTCCTCCAATTTACTATCTGTTATGAGAACTGTATTAGCTACTGGTATAGTTGGGTTTAAAGGATGGTTTCTCTAGTTTCCTACCTCTGTGAGCACTATATTAGCGTTAGCTATTGCTGACTTTTAACAGATGGTATCTCTAGTTTACTACCCCTATGGGAACTGTATCAGCTAAAACTGTTGCTGACATTTAACAGACGATTTCTCTAGTTTACTACCCCTATGGAAACTGTATCAGCTAAAGCTTGTTACTTATTACAATTTACCCCAGACGAGCCTCCAATTTATTACGTAACGTATTATAATTTCGAATAGACTGAAACTGAGTTAAATGATAATTTAGATTTAGAAATTAAATAAATGTCGATATGTATCCAATTTATGATACTTGCCAACTAGACTGATACACACAGTTATTTTTAATAGAAATGTATTTTAATATACAACAATAACACAATTTACAATAACAGTTATTACAAATAATGATCTATGTACAAAAGTTTTACAAACTTACAAACAATATTGAGTCCTCTATCTGG